TAACTTGCATGCTCTAATATTGCGTTCTACAGTTCATATGAAGAGATATGAACATACCTTCCATTTTGAAGTTTGTGAAAATCAACTTTCTCGAAGGATGTAATCGAACTCGTAACTTGTGCAGCTGCAGGGAAAATCCCAATCAACAATTCTTTAGGCATGAATCAAGGAAAATTTACTAGATGGAATGCATGCAACTAGATTCACATTGTATCAGGCTCAAGAAGAATTAAAACTCGTCAGAACTCGTAACTCAGAACAATACAAAAAACTGAATTTCAAAGGCCATGATTGTGAAGATTATATAGCTAAAACTCTCTCAAGATCAACCTGAATAATTAAAGTCTAGAACAGACCATTACAAAAGACACTGGTTCGGTTCCCATGACTGATCTGACGTGCTGCTAAGGTATGCAACTGCATGGCTGACAGGCCAGCAGATGCTATCTTCCACCCCTGCAAGGGATGTATGTTGCGCATGCTAAGGGCACAATAGTCCCTGTATATTGTGTCCAATTGCCTATTCCGTTGACAACGCCGTGATAGAAATACATTTTGAACAATCTGCCCTGATATTGCTGCACCGAAATTTTGAAACTTATTAGCCCTTAGATCCTCTCCCATCTCAATCAAATTAATGATCTTGACAAGATTCACTTTAACATTTTAACTCCTTGTCTACGTAACATTACTTCATGGAAAAATTCATTATTAACCAATACTTGTTTGGCAACTTTGAACAATAATCCGCTTGTCTTATAATCCTCAAATGGATTATAAGGCAAGTGGACTATAGGCCTAAGTGTTTGGTAAATTTAGTGGATTATAATCCATTTTTAATAGTAGAATGTTTGATAAATGGGTGGCTTGTAATCCATCATTGTCATCAAAATAACAAAAAAATATTTAATGATGTTAAAAAGAGACATATGGGGCTTGAAATTTTCTTGAATGACGATGGGTATAGTGGTCTTCTACAAAATCAAACCTTGTACCAACCAAAAAATAAGCTAGGTTACCCTCAACTTATTTTTTGATGGCTTATAAACCAAAAGAAGCCATCTGCCAAACATGTCAAAGTGGCTTATAAGCCTAAAATTAGCTTATAAGCACTTAGCCCACTTCTCAAACATGCTCTAAAGTGATGATAGATTATGGGTGGTTAAAGGTGGGGGTTGAGAAAGCAGTGGTTCTATTACAATTAAGTGTATGGAATTTTCTACTCAAACAAAAGTTAATTAGAATGGATGGCTTCAATTACAAGAATCTTAGGAGACACAAAGTCTTCCTTATCATGCAGACACTGTGAATTAAAGAAAATTCGCAAAAATTAGATCATAGGAGTCAGAGTCACCCCTTCCTTATCAAATGCCATATATAAAACTGATCTGCGAAGTTAAGTTTTACCTTACGAAACAGTAATCTAAGGCAAAAATCCAAAAGATCTAAAATCTTGCATTTCAGATATTCTTCAATTGGAAGTCTTATACCTCTATATCATACTACGATAAAACATCTTGATCACAGCTATGAAGAAACTTCAAACTATGTGATCCAGCAAAAAAGAATTCTATTGTTTAACTAGTAACATGGGCTTAAATTTTCTCAGGTTGAGATGAACAATATAAATCTTGCTCTTCATACAATCTTCTAAACTATAAAATTATAACCCCTAACCCTCATTGGCATGATCTGAGCAACCCAAATTCAAAACTCATTGGCCGCAAATTTAAAAGCGGATTAAATAAAAAGTATACCGCTGGGTGAGTAAGATTTCAGCCTATGACAAGGGTGTCCCTTTGCAGGGGGCATGTTTATCATTATATAATGATAACCCTCAACTTTGATTATAACTTCAGAGTTTTGATATAGTTACTAGGACCTTTAACACATTCTTCTACTTAACTCCCGCTTCTCTATATTAACTGAGTTATAGCTTCCCTTTGCTATCTAAATATTTTCAAATATCTAATGTAGTAAAAAAAACATTCAAAGCTTAAATACCTTAACTTTTATTAGGTTGATATGATCGATACAAATCTTTATCTTCGTGCGTTATTCTAGTTAAACTACTTAGGGCCAATCTGGTACAGCTAGAGGTTATAAATAAGTTGCTTATAAAAGTGATGAGGATAAGAATTGACAATCTTCCATTTTAGCTTAGTAGACTTTCTTTCGTTTTAATTTTTGAAATTTAAAATTTGAATTTTAGTTTAGTTTTGGCATTTGAGTGATTTTAGGGAATTTGTTTGAGTGATTTGAGAATTTTTTTGTTTGTTTTCATTTTTTTGCACGTTGTGTGCCCGTAGTCTTTTCTTTATTAACCTTGTTGTAATCAGAAATGATAATGAAGAATCTCTTATCTTAAATTTTGTAGGCTGAATACTCAGATTGAAACCCTAACCCTTTAGTGTGAAACCCTAGGGTTCTCTTGTTCATGCCTCCTTTCCCTCAGCCCGTCAGAGCTCCTCTCTCCCATTCACGAGTACAATCCCAACCAACAACAGCCTCCCTCTCTCGTTCCCTCAGCAAGCAAAACTCCATTGTCGCCATCATCTTCCAGAGCCCACCTCCAACTCACTCCCTGCAGCCCGCACCCCAGCCACCGCTCTCTTCTCCTCTGATACCACAGCCATAAACGATCTGCCTCCGCCCTCCTCTCTCAAACCCGTAGGACCCCAAATTTCTCTCTCCTCCGCGGTCACCTCATCTCTCTCCTTGTTCCTTCAATGTCAACAAGCAAGCGCCATCATCTTTTGTTTCTCCGGATCATGAGATTGCACCGCTTTCATCGAGATACGATCTCCACGACCTGACACCGAATTTTTGGGCAGCCTACGTTTAGACCTCGACTTCGCCGCCGGTCCACATAGTCAACTAGTTTGACGCCATCGCCATCATCATCCTCCAGTTCACCTGCCTCGTCTTCGTTCGTCCTCCTTGTCGTCATCGGATCTCCATCATCGCGTTAACGTCGTCGCCTTCTCTTTCCATCGGATTGAAGAGAACACAGAAGGGATCAAAACAGATTTATGACGTGTGTGCACTTATTGATATGATGGGCTGTGGACTTCACTGTAGTAGCCAATGGGCTTTTGAATTTTCTCAACATTTTCGAATAGTACTCCACTGAGGTTTCGTTTCTTTTAACTCAATATTTTTCTGTTAATTTTAATTTATTAGTTAATTGCATGAGTATATCATCTCAAAACTCTTATCTTATATTCATTGCTTAGATTATAATTGTGAGTTGAGAGTAACTGAACATGTGACTGCTAAACATTGATATTGATTGTTGAACTTACGCAATGATAATGAATATTACAGTTAAATTGATCGAGATTGGAATTATTCATCATTGTCGATGCAAATCTTGTTAAAATCCATTGGTCACATTAGTTGTTTTAAATTTAATTTCCTGCCGAAGTTCATGAAATTTGACGAAACGGTGTGTTATTCGATTTATATCGCTGATTCTGATAGACTCATTGTCTCGTTTCACATCATTTTTGGTATCAGAGCATGGTTCTAGGTTAGGAATTTTATTTTACTTCTAGGTTAGTTTAATTGAGTCTTTATCTGTGATAAAAAAATTAATTTCAGCTCATTTAGCTGTTTGTGCACACCATTCATCTCATCTAGTTGATAGTGCATACCCACTCGCACAGGTCTACCCTATCGATTAGGAGAGTCAAGTGAATCAACTAGTGAGTTCAGCATGTCTCCCAAAGTTCTTCGTTGAACTAGTAGCACAATTTGATACCATAGCAAATTTCCAGAAAGAAACCAAGGAAAGGATTGCTAGGCTCGAAGGAGCGTGTAGTGCAACTCCGCCTCCGCAAGGACAAGGTCATGGGTACATCGTTAATCGACCCTCAGCTCAACATATGCCTGATCCACCAACCTTTGATGGTAAACTCGACCTACAAGCTTTTTTTGAAGTTGACTGAAGTTTCATATAATAACAACACTCTAATTATTCCCCAAACTACCTATCTGATCACGGAGTCCACTGATGTTATCCTTGAAGTTCTTGAAATTGAAACTTCAACTCCTCCTGAACCAACTTCGGTGATTAAAAATGTTGTTGATGTTCCCTACGAAATCCACCCGGACCAACATGACCCCTAACACGTTCCTGATGTAGGTCAACGATTCACTCAGAAATCTGTATGGAAGTTGAATGCCAAACCGAGCCTAGTGAAATAACTACCATATTAGATGTCAAACCCCAATGCATTGTCCCGATAGTCACTCACACATACTCTGATCCATTTTGGGAATATATAGTGACTAGGGATACAAGTTTGAGTACGAGTGTTTTCATTTCCTTTCGCTCTCATGTTAAGTGAACAAAAACACTCCTCCGTCATGCATTTGTTTGCATGTTCCTCACTATCACTGTTAGAACAGAAAAAATTTTATGCATTTTAACAAAGGAACACCTAATTATTCCATTTGATAGAGGACGTCATGCGTGTACACTTCGTTGAGTTTATATCTGTTATTAATCGCATTGTTCGAGTCTACATTTCATCATAATCATTTGAGTTGATTCACATCATTTTTGAATTGCATTGATCATATATTAGGCAACCAGTGATCTAATTTGAATAAATACATTGTTAACTAAACTGTTAGATATGGAATCAGGACATAATTTAAAACTGTTAATGCTGATATTTTAGATGGTTTGGACTTGTCCAATACAGTTCTTTATAACTGTTTAAGATTTGACATGATAATTATGAACTTTTCCAACTCTTAAAATAATTAATAATAATATTTATATTATCAATTTGGTCATAATTCTATTCTTAATATTGATTGATTAAACAGTTCACAATATTTATTGACAGTCCACTGATATAAACCTGACCATTGTTTCTAAGAGTTTTTCACTTTACCCCACTTCTATATATTCACCCATGTTGTAGTAAATTTTGATAATATTTTAGATAGTGAATTTACAATACAATCTAGCTAATGATTTGAGATGTAGGAAAGTAACTGACGGTAGATTAAGATACAGACAGAGTATTAAAGAAAATAAGTTTCTGCAGCTAACCCGACGGAGTCGAGATTTTTCACACCCGGGGAGAATGATGAGGACAAGAATTGGCAATCTTCCATTTTAGCTTAGTTGACTTTCTTTCATTTTAATTTTTGAAATTTGAAATTTGAAATTTAGTTTAGTTTTGGTATTTGAGTGATTTTAGGGAATTTGTTTGAGTGATTTGAGAATTTTTTGTTTGTTTCCATTTTATTGCACGTTGTGTGCCTATAGTCTTTTCTTTATTAACATTGTTGTAATCAGAAATGATAATGAAGAATCTCTTTCTTAAATTTTGTTGGCTGAATACTCGAGTGTGAAACCCTAGCCCTTTGGTGTGAAACCCTAGGGACTTCCCCGTCATCATTTTCCATAAGCCCACCTCCAACTCACCTCCCTGCAGCCGCACTCCAGCCACTGCTCACTCCTCTGCCAAAACAACCATCAACGACCTGCCTCCGCCCTCCTCTCTCACAACCTGCAAGACTCTAAATTTCCTCCTCTCCTCCACGTCAACCTCATCTCTCTCATCGTCTTCTCGTCAACAACAGCGCCATCATCTTCTGTTGCTCCAGATCTGTGAGATGCAACCGCTCTCCACTGAGATAATCTCCCACGACCTGACAGACTCCAAATTTGGGCAGCCCACGTTCAGACCTCGACTTCGCCGCTGGTCCACATCGTCAACTAGTTCGACGCCATCGCCATCATCATCCTCCAGTTCACCCGCCTCGTCTTCGTTCGTCCTTGTCGTCATCAGATCTCCATCACCGCGTTGACGTCGTCGCCTTATCTTTCCATCGGATCGAAGAGAACGCAGAAGGGATCAAAACAGATTTATAACGTGTGCACTTGTTGATATGATGGGTTGTGGGCTTCACTGTAGTTGCTAATGGGCTTTTGGATTTTCTCAACATTTTCGAATAGTACTCCACTGAGGTTTCGTTTCTCTCAACTTAGTATTTTTCTGTTAATTTCAATTTATTAGTTAATTGCATGAGTATATCATCTCTAAACTCTTATCTTATATTCATTGCTTAGATTATAATTGTGAGTTGAGAGTAACTGAACACGTGACTGTTAAACATTGATATTGATTGTTGAACTTGAGCAATGATAATGAATATTACAGTTAAATTGATCAAGATTGGAATTATTCATCATTGTCGATGCAAATTTTGTTAAAATCCATTTGTCACATTGTTGTTTTAAATTTAATTTCATGCCGAATTTCATGAAATTTGGCGAAACGGTGTGTTATTCGATTTAGATCGATGATTCTGATAGACCCCCTGTCATCAGATCTTCATCGCCGTGTTGACGTCATCGCCTTCTTTTTCCATCGGATCGAAGAGAACGCAGAAGGGATCAAAACAGATTTATGACGTGTGTGCACTTGTTGATATGATAGGTTGTGGGCTTCACTGTAGTAGCTAATGGGCTTTTGGATTTTCTCAACATTTCCGAATAGTACTCCACTGAGGTTTCGTTTCTCTTAACTCAGTATTTTTCTGTTAATTTTAATTTATTAGTTAATTGCATGAGTATATCATCTCTAAACTCTTATCTTATATTCACTGTTTAGATTATAATTGTGAGTTGAGAGTAACTGAACATGTGACTGCTAAACATTGATATTGATTGTTGAACTTGCGCAAAGATAATGAATATTGCAGTTAAATTGATCGAGATTGGAATTATTCATCATTTTCGATGCAAATCTTGTTAAAATCCATTAGTCACATTAGTTGTTTTAAATTTAATTTTCTGCCAAAGTTCATGAAATTTGGCGAAACAGTGCATTATTCGATTTAGATCGCTGATTCTGATAGATCCCCTGTCCCGTTTCGCATCAAAAAGCAAATTATAGTAGCAACTTATATAAGTTGCTGAAAATAGCAGTTTGGTAATCAAATATCAAAAACTGCTTAAAAATCAGGTAAGGTGTTTAGTAGAACTGTGGTTAATGATTATTATTAAATGATACAAGGAACATATGTTATATAAACTTAAAAAAAAGCTAGAGATGCTTTTAAAAGCATTCTCAATTAGCTTCTAAAAGTACCCCCTAAAAGTAGAAGCAGTTTCAATAAGCATGCTAAAATTTTTTTACCAAACATCATTATTGGCCTTCTTGTTTTGATGATGTTTAACAAATAATTTATAACTAATGTTGTTTGTCTAGTGCTTGTATTATCTATTCATTGTAGACAAACAACGTAGTTGGAGGATGGATGGAATCGAGCCTTAACGATCATATCAAATGGAGGTTGGCGGAATTGTGGAGTGAAGCAACGTTAATTCAAGTTAAAGATCCAATTACAAGCTTCTTCCGTAAAGTTTACCAAGTCATGCTCATTGAAGACCTTCATCAAGCTTGGGTATATTTAGTTTAGGTTTTATATTATGTGTGTTAATACTTTAAGCTCAATCATACACACACATACACGCTTTGGTTTTGATTTTGTATATATACAGTTATATATATACATATATGTTTTTGGTTTAATAATTTTCGAGTTTATATATGAAACAAATGAATAATTGGAAAATACTATTTTGTTTCATGTTTATATGCCTATATATGATTTCACCTTTAACAAGCTTATATTTAATGAAATCATATTTAGTGTTTTGAATATATTGCATAGAATATGCAATTTTATGAAAATATTGTATTTCTAGGTTATAGACTTCATAACAACATGTTATATCTTTTATCAAGTCTATACAATCATTTCATAAGGTTTCAAAATATTGTTTAAGTCAAAATATCAAAATACCAATTTTCAGGTTTTCATGTTTTGGACTATTTTGCTAAATAATGATATTTTTCATTTGGAAAGTCCTTTTTCAAAACCAGTCATTGTAGCATATTTATTATCATGTCTACAATCATTCTCCAAAGTTTTATATTTTTTGGAATTTATTTGATATTTTTAAACAGTGTTTCAAAATCAGATGTATAGCTTTCAAAACTGTTTTTCAGAAGTATCAGTATTCGGTCGACCGCACCGGTCGACCGAACCTGAATGGTCCAGAATGTTTTCTTCGTGTTTTTGCTCTCATCGGTCGACCGACGGAATTTTCGGTCGACCGACAATAGATCCGTTAGGCACAACGGCTACTTTTCTGAGGAGCTTTCTGGTGGCTTTGTTGTCCTTTGGCTTGGGGTTTTTGGCTGAGTTGTGAGAGGGTATAAATACCCCATTGTCTTCAACTCTCAATCGATCTAAGAATGTTTTAAAGAGAGTTTTAAAAATAAGTTTAAGGAGTTTTGTTTAAGGGTTTAGTGTTTGTTTAAAAAAGCTTTTAAGCATTTACAAAAGTTTGATTTGTGGAGCAAATTTCACAAGAGCAAGTGGAGATCATCCTTGGTGTTTGAGCATTCATTCTTCTCCCTCTCTCTTGTCATTTATTGAGAAGTTTTCTAAACTCTATTTCTAGCTATTTTATATATTTGATTATCATTGTTATTTAGCTAGAACTACATTGAGTTTAGTTTTGATTTATATCTCTTTGTTCACACACAACCTTTTGAGCTTATTGTATTTACATTCATAGTATAATTTGGGGTTGTGGGTTTGTGACTAAGAGTTGTGCTTAATTGAGTTCTCACCTTGTTTTGAGAACAATCATTTGTCATATTTGTGCTTATTGTGAGAATCACTTTGTAATACACTTGTACACCGAGTGAGGAGTGTGTGGTGAGAGTCGGGGATCGTCCCAAGAGGAGTGGCGAACAAACCGAATAAGAGTGACCATCACACTCCGACAAGTATATGAGTATAAACTGCTTCTTTCGAAACTCCAACAGGTATATGAGTATAAACTGTTTCCTTTGTATCTAACGGGAAATTCCTGGAGGACATCATACAGGATGTTCTTAAGGATAACCCGATATTAATCAAAAGGGTTGGAAATAAGATTCATACTTGCTAGGATAACTCATTAATTAATTTTAATTGGCATATAATCGGATTAGATTAGCATAAGACCCTAATCACCCTCCCTCTAGGGTCTAACAATCATTACTGATTGCTTCTTCGAAAAATAAGCAGAAGTACTCTACGTCATAATGGGATAGCTCTTAGAACTTAGAAATTTCAATATGTGATCCAAAAAAATAAAAATAAAATAAATAATAATAATACCAGAGCTTAACTGGTACCAAGGCCTTTAGTTTTCTTAAAGGGGTTTTAGATATTAGTCCCTTAAATCATTGGTATTTTGATATTAATCCCTCAAATTTTCATATTTTCATATTAGTCCCCTAGTTACCTTATTGTGTTGATATTAGTCCTTCTATTAAACTTATTAGTCAAAACCCTAAGCCATGGTTGGGTCAACATGAACTATGGGTGGAGAATTACCTCATTACCCCACACCCTTCACCCCTCCCCCTCTCTCCCTCTCTCTCACCTTCTCTACCATCACCTGCATCTCCTCCGCCAAAGTCCCTCCTCCGTCGGCACTCATAGCTACCACCATCTCCACCACTGCCATTTCTACATCCGCATGTATTCTCACGGCCCCCTCCATCTCCACCACCATCATCTCCACCTCAGGAGGGAGAGATAGTGGGAGAGGAGAGATGTAGGGTATAACTATCCATTCAAGAAAAAAAATTAAAGAACACAGAATATTCCCCACCCATTTTAACACCAATTAACTAGAGGGATTGATATCAACTTACTGAGGTAATTTGGGGGACTAATATCAAAATATGAAGATTTGAGAGACTAGTATCAAAATAACTACGATTTAAGGGAATAATATCTAAAAAATCCTTTCTTAAATTGAACCGAGCTTACTGCTCCTCAAAGGCTAGAGAGGCACTATAACCACCAATGCCCGTGCATTTAACCATAATAACTTACTCCAATTCTTCAACAATATGAACTCAAATTTGAACTTAATATAATTCTTAAAAAGATCATCGGCGATTAATAGAACTCAGTGAGCAATTCAATCAGAAGGTTAATGGACAACAAAATCATATTTGCAACTACCAGCTACCGATAAAATACAGCTCAAGATTTATCAATTCAGCGTAAATGCTAGGGTTTGAGAACTAATAGCGAAATTTATATTAGACTCGATGAGATAAAACAATTAAAATCCTCGGAATTCAAATTCAAAAGGTAATGACACAAAATATTGGATTAGAGCAGGAATAAGGAGGGAAGAACAAAACCTGCCATGGCGATGAACTGAAATTGGGGGAAATTGAAGCTGTTGCAATCTCAGTCGACGATGGCGGAGAGAACGAGTGGAAAAAAAAAATTGGACCGATTTTTTATTTTTTATTTTTTATTTTTTATTTTTCTGGCGTTTGTTCTGTTTTTCTGGAAGGATCTGCTGCTTGCAGTGAGTCTTCTACACTGTGAGACTCTGTAGAGGCGGCCGTAAAAGAATTTTTTATGTAGTGGACCTATCCGAAACGGTAACATTTGATGGCATGTTTATTTGACGAACAATTTTTCAAAACAGCCTCATTTGAATTTTTATTTTTAAAACCGATTTTTTTTTTATTTATCAAAACCGACCCATTTTTTGATTAGCAGCCTAATCATCTTTCTAAATAGTTGGGGTTACCAACCCCGACTATTTAGGACATAAATTTTTAAGGTTTAAGGCTTCTAATTGAGGTTTAACACCCTTCTAAATAGTCGGGGTTGACAACCCCGACTGTTTAGGAGGGTGATTAGGCTGCTAATCAAAAAACGGGCCGGTTTTGGTAAATAAAAAAGGATCGATTTTGAATAATAAAATTTTTTTGGGGCTGTTTTGAAAATTGTTCTTTATTTGACTCGGGTTGAAATAATTTGCGATGCAAATAATAGTAACTGTCTTTTTGTTTTTGTAAAGACCATTGTTTCCAAAATTAGGATCTTTTAGAGTGCTTCTGGGACTACCCAAAAATAGAATAGCTCCAAGAGTCAGGTGACATGGCAATCTCGGCTTTAATATGATATACATGCGAAACATGGATAACATGGTACTCATAAAAGATCGATGATTAGATTTTTAGAGGTTTTATGATAATCTGCGAAAGAACTTAAAAGTTGTATTTGTAACATTCATAGTCAAGTTGTAGAATTTCTCGTTTCTTGATTTTAGAAAAAAAAAATACTTAAAATTCTTGTCGTTGCAGGTTTTGTTATTGCAAAATTCATCAACGACCCAAAATATAGGACCAATAGAGGGGACAAGTGAGGTGTCTCCCTCCTATTGGATAATGAGTTGGCCATCATTAATGATGGCCAACTCATTATCTAATAGGAGGGAGACACATCACTTGTCCCCTCTATTGGTCTCATATTTTGGGTCCCTATAGCAAAGCTCTTTGTTATTTTAGGAAAAATAGTACTTGTGAAGTATTGTCTTCATTTACGGTAGAAGTCAACACATTTATTGTTTGTCTCTCATTTTTCTCTACGACCCATTTTCATTAGTCTTTACTTCTTAACATTATGTTTTATTAAAAGTATTTCAAAGGATATTTTCACAGATGATGATAGTATAATTTAGAGATTTCATTTAAATTTTTAAAAGAAAATTGAATCATAGTCATTGAAATTCTTATGAAACTACACATATAATTTTTTTGGCAACGTCAATTTAATATCAACGACTTAAACAAATTTATAAAGTATTTCAACATTTAAGATTATTTTTCGTGAGAAATATAAAAGCTAAATTATTTTAAATTATTTTTTTATACTTAGACGTTGAGAATCAAGTCAAATGCAATTGCAATTCATTATTCCAACTAAAAATCAAAGAGCATAAAAATAAAAACACCACATCATCCATTTGCTCGCTTTTTGAAACTCACTACAGTCTTAAATAGAGGCAAGTACAGTTCGGTGCAAACATATTAAACCGAGCAAATTGGTCAAAATTTGACGGTTTGGTTCAGTTTTAGAAAAACTTCGATTCGGTTTGGTTTTAAATTATATGAAACTAAATAACCTAGCCGACCGCTTTCAACATAATTGTCCAAAACTTATCATTGCTCAAGGTGAATAGATAATTTGTACTAATATATTTAGGTCTGTCCATCCGGCCCGGAAATCCGGGCCCGGGCCGGACAAAACCGGGGCCCGGACCCGGGCCCGACCGGGCCGGGTTCCGGGCTGGCCCGGGTGTTTTTCTTTTCTTTTTTTTTATTTTTTTAAATTTTTTTCCAAAATTTTTCAATTTTATTTAAATTTTAAATTATAAAAAAAAAGACAAGAAAAATAATAAAAATAATAATTTTATTAATTACTTAAAATAACATAAATTACAAATAAAAAATGATAAAAACAAATTCTTTATTAATAATTAATAAATCATTTACAAATTACAAGTACAGATTTATTTTGGAATTAATCGCATCACAATAGATAAGTAAATCCCAACTAGGTTGGCACTTACTTACCTATATCACTATCATTTACAATTATTTCTAAAATAATTATTTACAAATTTTAAGCTAAGATATAAAAACTACAATCTATTCTTTATATCTATCTGCTAGTCCCAATTCTTCAAATTTATCTTCAATTCTAGCCATCCGATCGATGCCTTGCGTTCGCTTCTCGTACCTCCACCAATCTTGTAAGCACATCATCACTTGTATAGTATACAAATCCAAGCATGTCCTATGATCGTCGATCAAACGACTTGCTGTGCTGAAGGCGGATTCCGAAGCTACCGTCGAAACCTGCACTGTTAGTAAGTCACGAACCATGGTGGAAAGTATAGGATATGAAACTGATCCATATACTTTCCACCATTGTAAAATATCTAAAGCATTTCCTTGACATCTAACTAAAGAAGCAAAAAAATATTCATCTATTTCAGAAACCTCCGATGATGACGATCCAAGTCCAGATCCACCAGTTAGCTCGGCTACCATTGCATACCTATCAAAACTTACACTTTTACCTCGGGCTCGGGATGAGCTCGAAGAAACCGAAGCTGCAGACTGTTGTGCAGCTACACCATGTCTAGCTGCATACTCATCATATAAAGTTTGAAAATAATTTCTAATAAGTAAATGATGAGTAGTAGCATTCAGGGTGGTTCCATCATCTAAGTCTATAACCTGTCCACCATACAATGACTGTAACAAACTTCGAAGGCCAATATCCTTCAAGCATGGATCAATAAGAACCCCCAAACCAAAAATATGAGGAATAGGCCTAAAATACTTATTAAATTTGCTCTCCATTTCAAAAACCATAGGTCCAAAAGTAGCATCCAAACGATATTTATCAAAAAAATTTTGAATATTTAAAATTTGTAAAGCAGCTAAAGTAATGGTTGGATAATAACAGCCAGATAATAACATGGTAGCATCATAAAAAACTTGTAACATTTCATTTAAATTACATATAACTGTCCATTCATCTTCAGTTATTCCATAAGTGCTACCAGAACTAGAACTAGAAGCATAATAGTTTATAAAATCAGTTATAATGTCTTTATATTCTATTGCTACACTTAACATTGCATATGTGGAATTCCACCTATGGTCAACATCTTTTGGAATTAGTCTAGGCTTTACATTTTTTCTTTTACAAAATTGTTTCCATCTTTTAAGTCTTTGTTCAGAAGCACTATGCATGTAAGCAACTGTTCTAACCTTTTCTATCATGGGTTTAATTTCAGTAAATGCACTTTGAACAATTAAATTTAAAATATGACAGATGCACCTAATATGAAAAAGATCACCATGACATGGCAATGATAAAGTTGATCTGATAAAATCAACAGCTACATTGTTATTACTTGCATTATCTAGTGAAAGAGAAAATATTCTTTCTGAAATTTCTAATTTCATAAGTTCTTCAATTATTAAATTTGCAACATTAGTACCAGTATGTGACTCTTCTATTGTAATAAAAGAAACAACTCTTTTAAACATTTCCCAATTTTTATCAATCCAGTGTGCTGTGATACATAAATATCCAGTTTATGCTCTAGATGTCCAAATATCAGAAGTTAAAGAAAATTTACAGTTTAAATTTTTAAAATAAGAAATTATTTTTTCTTGTTCCTGCTGATAATATTTTAAAATATCACGTTGACAGGTTTGACGAGAAAATTTTTTAAATGCAGGATAAAAACCATCTCTAAACATATCTTCAAATTCATCATCTTCTACTAATTTAAAAGGAAGGTTTTTAAGAATGATAAACCTGATTACGCATTTCCTGGCTCTGGCAGCGTCATAGTTCCAACTACCGAGATTACCAGAAGAGGAGGATTGAGAAATCATAGATTGTCGGATATCACCTTGAGGAGTCTGGCCTTTGTTGTGTTTATCTAAATGGCGTTTGAGGTGGTTGGTGCCGCTCTTATGATGAGCTTGAAAAATCTTGCCGCACAATGCACACTTAGCCTTCTGGGTGAGGATCCTACCGTGTTCATCCTTGGTGACGTCGATCTTCTCGTAAAAATTCCACACATCGGATCTTGGCCTTTTAGGAGCTCATGGTGCAGATTCGTCGCCACCGGATTCAGGATTAACTTCGGTAGGAGTAGGCCCAGTAGGAGGACTCATAGTAGGAGGACTCATTTCAGGATCGGGAGATATGTTTTGCTCTTCATAATCAGATCCGGAAGCCATTTGATAAAATGATTAGAAAGTATAAATTAGAGAGTATAAGAATATAAGAGAGAGTATAAGAGTATAAGAGAGAAGAGATGAGTTTTTGGTGTGAAAAAAATAAATGAAAACCCCCCTCTATTTATAGAACCAGCCCCCTAGGCAAATAACCAAAATAACCTCACAAAATACCTATTTTTGACCGTTTTGGGGGCAAAACGGTCAAACGGCCGTTTTTGGCCGTTGTGGCCGGGCCGGGCCGGGCCGGGCCGGGCCGACGGTCACC